AGTACCAATTAACTTAATGAAAAAGTGGGGGCTGGGAATTTAGCTTAAGAGGTTCCACCGCCTGCCTTGCAAGTGCATAATCCCAAGTGATACGAAACAGGGAGACAAAACTTTTGCAAATGGGAAGGAGACCAACAGATGGAAGGAGGTAGAAGGAAGGAAAGGGAAAGAGAAAAGAAAAAAGAAACACTAACAGCCCCGACTTAGCTTTAAAGTAGGGCAACAATCTCAGACTTTTTAGATCTTGAAAATGAATGAATGAATGGCAAAGAGCTGAATGCTAAATAATAAATGCAGAAATAGAATGGAGTTACAAAATCATTAATGAAAGTTTAACCTACTAGGTGATACTGGATTAGGAAAAGAATATTTACACAGTCTCAAAGTGTCTTTTCACAAATTACTCATCATTTATGAGGAAGAAACAGAAACTTTTAAATAGAGAAATTACCACCATTAACCAAGTCATCAAAGTTAAAGCTACCAATACTGGAAGAAATAAATATCATGTACTTCTTTGTATGTTGTACTGAGGATACAGTTCTGTGGTATTCCTACTAAAAATGCATACTCTGAATCTAATTATAAGGTAATACTGAGCAAAATGAAAGACCCTTCCCAAAATAAATGGCCTTAGATCAGAGATGGTGAACCTACATATGGCACATGCACCATAGTGGGTTATTCGTACCATTGAAAGTTCTAAAAGGTTCACCTTCACTGGCCTATATTCTTAAAAGATTTTACAGGAGGACCAGGGATTTAGCTCAGTGGTTCTGCTGCCTGCCTCGAAAGCACAAGGTCTTGAGTTCAATCCCTGGTACAAAAAAAAAAAAAAAAAAATCACAGGCAAGAAAGTCTATTCCAGAACGAAGGATACTAAAGAAACAGGAGAACTACAATGTACGATCCTGGGTTAGATCATGGATTAGAATTTTAGGCAATAGCCAGGTGTGGTGGCACATGCCTATAATCTCAGCATTCTGGGAGGCTGAGGCTGGAGGATCACAGCCTAGCCTGGGCAACTTAGCAAGAGCTTGTCTCAAAATAAAAAGGGCTGGGATACAGTTCAATGTGAAGGTCTTGCATTCAATTCCCAGTATCATGAAAGAAAAAAAAAAAGAGAATTTTAGGAAATAACTACCAAGGACAGTATTAGAGTAAATGATAAATTTGAATATGGACTATGTTCATAATAATGCTGAATCAGTGTTAAAATTTCTAATTTTAATATTTAAGGTATAATTATATAAGTGGTCTTTATTACTAGTAAATACTAAAGTATTTAGTAGTAAAGGGACATAATATCTCCAACTTATCTTTATTTGTTTATTTATTTATTTTTGTGGGGTTTTTTTGAGACAGGGTCTCACTATGTACTTGAGACTGACCTGGAACTCACTATGTAGCCCAGGCTGGTCTCGAACTCACAGAGATCCTCCTGCCTCAGCCTCCTGAGTGCTGAGATTAAAGGCATGTGGCACCACATCTGCCTATCTCCAACTTATCTCAATAGTTTAGAAAAAATTATTTGTATATATATGTATGTGTGTTAAGTGTGTGAATGTGTAAATATCATGATAAAGCAAATATATCAGGTAAATCTAAAGACCATATGGAAGTTCCTTATACTATTGAGGATTCTCAAAAATTGTATCAAAATTAAATTTACCCTCCTCTGCTAAAATAATAAATAAGGCAATAAAGTTGTCTTGATTATATTGAACACATTCTTGAGATAAAACACAAATGTGGGCAAAGGGTTGCATTTTAAACATCAAGATACCATGTATCAAACAGGACTACTTGTGTTTATATACATGTTTACATATAAGTTTACATGCTTTATACACATTTGCATACAAAAACACACATATATTTCAAATGTCAGCTCTAGTGAAACTTGGACTCATTTCAGTATAGGTCCAAATCCCAGTGCTATCATTTGTTACTGGCAAATTTTAGGCAAATTACTAAAGCTCCCTGTGCCAGTTTCCTAATTTTTAAAACAAGCGCAAATTATAGTTTCTAACTTGAGATTTTTGAGGCACTTTCAAAGGATGACACATGTAAAGAACTTAACACACTCAGAATGCAAATGCTGTTCTTAATTTTTTTTAGAAATAAATATCAAGAGAAAATTATTCTCTTTTAAATTTTGGTAGTAGGGACTGAACCCAGGGCCTCAGAATGCTAAGCATATGCTCTGCCCCTGTGCCCATAAAAATTATGCTTTAACCTAAATGATGATTCACTGAATGTCAAATCCCTCTGATGCTGAGGTTATGATGTACCTCTTATCAGTCTAAAAGCAAATGGGAAGGAAACTATGAGTCAAAGAGAACCAGCTCAGAGTGTGTAAACTAAAATTAAAATGTGTAAGAAACACAGAATTCCTCTTTTCAACCAGACTTCGTTAAAATATTCTCAGAATATTGTATTAAAGAATATATTATATAATTTAATGTGTTAAATATTAAACTTCTACATTTATTATTTTTTAATGTATTAAATGATTCATTAAAGAATGTGAAAGTGCCTTTGGTTCTGCTTGGTTTAGAATGTATATATATGTTCAATAGATAAGATTTAGAGATTTTTTTTTTGTTTTGTTTGTTGTTTTTGTTTTTTAAGACAAAGTCTCACTAATAGTTCAGGCTGCTCTTGACCTCAATATGTACCCTAGGCTGGCCTTGAACTTTTGGTGATCCTCCTGACTCAGCCTCCCAAGTGCTATAATTACAGGTGTGTGCCACCACACCTAAAATTTAGGTATTTTTAAAAAGTATCCTTAACATCTTTTTTAATTTCCACATGAAGGAATTATCTAAGCACATGCAATCTCCAAGCATTTATATAGAGTGATAGTTAATAGAATCTTACTGAATTTTTAAGATACTAAAGGTAAGAAATTCTGTCATTAATCAAAATTTATCTATTGAAATGCCTTTATAGGCAGAAGGAATCACAAACAGCCAACTATAAATCAATAGGGAAGAAATGAGACCACATTAGACCTGAAAACTACCTAAATGCATCCAATTTAAGTTTTACTTCATTTTTTAAAAAATACTGTGCTCCATTTGTTCAGCCTCAGTTTAGCTAAAGGAACATCTGTTTTGATCTTTGAATTTCAGATGTGAAGCACTAGGACATTTATGATACACACTTATGTAGGACATGTATGATATACATGATGAATACACAGTATGGTCTAGACCCAGGGTACCCCCTGGAACAGCCTCTTATGTTTGCAAGGTGGCTGGAAGCACTGTCCTCGGATTGGGGCCTGGTTAGAAGAGGATCCCCGGGGTCATGACCTGAGAGATGCACCTCCCTCCCTGGCTCCTCCCTTCGGTCTCTGCTTCTTGGCCACCATGACATGAGCAGCTTTCCTCTGCACAAGTCCTTACACCATGATGTTTCTGCTTCTGAGTATGCCAAGCATGGACTGAAACTTCTGAAACTGAGCCAAAATAAGCCTCTCCTTTAATTTGTGGGTGTCAGGTATTCTGTGCTGCTGATGAAAAAGTGTCTAACACATGAATATTCATGCACATCAAAAACATGAAATTTTTCAATGACTTCCAAAAGGCAGTTATATAACTAAAGATATCTTAAGGTGACTATCTCCCCTTTGTACTCTCAAGATATACTTTAATATAT